GTGAAACAGTTAAGGAATGTGAACCATCATTCAGTTTTTATCCCAGTGTTGCTTCAGTGCAAAAGCAATCAAATGTGACCTGTTCTCATTTCTGAAAATGTAATGTTTCTGTTTGTTTTTTTTCCCCGACCACATTTGTGGGGAGAGATTACTGTAGCACTGTTGAATTGCCGGGGCATAAGAGTGTGACTTTGTTTCAAATGAGATATTTTTGTATTTGAAAAAAAAAATGTTGACAGGCAATCATATTTATGTTAGCTAGTGAAATTCAGTTTTACTGTCAGAGTTGTATGTGTGATGGTTTCAGTGCTGTTTTTGTGTTTAAGATTCATAGTCACACCTTACAATCATATCTGAACGGCTTTCGGCACATAATACAGACACAAGTTTGCTTGCTTGTGTTAAAATGCTCTTGCCTTTGCTAATTAAAGTTTTTACTTTTCATGTTCAGCATCGGTCCTTTAATTACTCATCATAGACATCTATAAATAGATCTTGCACTAAAGGTTTACATTTAAATAAACTGACAACATAATATTTAACAGACAAGAACAAGAGTCTTACACATGCTATGACTCTTGACAGATAAGTCATACAGGAAAAAAAAAAATTCTTCTATGAATAATGGGAAATACAGATCTGTCTGAACTAACAACTTCCTTTTTGCTCCATTTGTAACACTGCTGTCACACCTACCCAGTCAACCTACAAATTTGTCTACACTAACCTATGAATTAATTTTCTGCATCAGTGCTGTTTTATTCATCTGCTCTTTTATACATTTAGTTTTCCTCCTTGTTGCATTTTGTTGACATCTAATTTACTTAATCCTGTTTCATGTTAATGTATTGTCCACACTGGTCACATGTTTTCTCGGTTTTAATTATTTCAATGTCTTATGCATTAGTTCTTTCTCTGGTTTATTGTGTATATGTGGAAAAACACTAAAGTAACTGGTGCAAACTTATTGATTTGCAACACAAGAAATACAATTAGTAATGCAAGGAAAGTTCCTCTCTATATAAACTAGAGATTTTGTGCATCAGCAATAGCTAAATTCACATTCATCCCAAAGCCAGTACACTCCCCATAGTCTCATATTGTACACAAACTGAGGGGATTAGGAAGCTGTCTTTCTCTCTGGCTCCCTGATGATGTGTAAAGGTTTGTCATCAAATATCTCCCATCTGTCTGTGACACGGCTCTGGTCAACTGTGGTGGGTCCCAGTCACCCAGCTCATTTGTACGCCCTCCGCATGTCAGCAACTGCTACGCAATCTCGAGTAGGCGAGCAGGCTGGGATGTGCACCACAGAATTATTCGTTGAGGATCAGTTGTGGTACACTTAATGGCTTGGCACAGGCAGTGACTGGCTTATATGGATTTTGTGTGCATTTTCATTGACTAATTTATTGTTAAAACATTTACACTTTTTTCTGTTAAAGTGTTAAATACCTACATATTCAAAGAAAAGCAAGAAAAAATTGCACATTTAAGCAGCCGAAACAGGAGAATATGTGCTGTTTGTAGACATTTCATCTCTAGTGTATTAACTCACAGCTAATCACATGGGTCTGTGGAAATTATGTTCACAGACACATAAAACCCACAAACATACAGTGCTGCATATGAAAAATAATCCAAACTATAGCTCTTGCATTATTTCCCAAATGCTCCTTATTTCTCAGGGGGGGTGTTTGGTTGACAGAACCTCAACTCATGCCTGAGAGGTGTTTATGAGGAAGCGCTGGAAGACTAGCTGTATAGCTCAAACTGTGGCCACAACAGGGTGTCAAGGGTATTCTTAAGATGTTGGTTGGCCTAGGAGAAGAAAGCATGTTAACTGGTGTGTTGTGTTGTGTATGGAGGCACACCAACTGATTGGTTATCCACTTCAGCAACTGCTTTTAGGAGACAACACAGCAACAGCAGCAGCACACTAGTTTTGATTTACTGTCCGCTTCAGTTAAAATGTGATGAAATTCAAAAGTGGAAATGACCGTTTTTAAATTACTCCCATCAAATGATAGCCACATGTGGGTTTTAACATGACCGTACAGTATATCTATAGCTCATTTAGGCAGTCATCCGTGTTAAGCCAAAATGACATTCAATTTATTCTCTCCATTAAGGCACACACGTTGCATAAACCCCACCTGCCAGCCTGTCGAGCTGAGAACCATCTTGCTGCATCCTGGGTGAAGGGAACACTGTTCCAGATGGCTTACTGAGCTGTCAGTGGAGGGGATCAATGAAGTGGGCATTGACTGAGACCTGACGAGAATGGTAAAGGCTGCTCCCACAGGATGATCTGGGTGGTGTGAGCCTGGAAAGCAGGCACAGGTTGCTGTTTTGAGCCTAGTGAAAGTGTGTACATTTTGCTCACTGGTAAATTAGCTGAACTTGATTTAGTTGCATTTTTCTTGGTTATGTAAGTTTCAGTGTTTCCCCCAAGAAAAAAGAAAAATATGAAGAGAGGAAGGGCTGAAGTTTATGTTGCAGAATTCATATAAAAAATGACACAAATGTCAATGCAAACCTAATCAAGCTCCCTCTACATTCTTGCTGTTTTGATTTGTTGCAGGAGCACCACTGAGGAACCTCCCTAACCTATTTGGTTCTGGTATTTATGACTTTAATTATGTATTATATGGATATCAAAAAACTGAGTAAATTACTTTATTGCTTACAGTGCTCCCTCTTGTGTGCCAGCTCAGCCCATCACACAAATGCACATCTATATGAGGTGGTTGTAGGGCTCAGTCAGCAGAGACTATTTGGCATTCTCTGAGAAGAAGAAGAAGAAGAAGAAGAAGAAGAAGAAGAAGAAGAAGAAGAAAGTTTTCCACTCTACTGGTTAAATGATTGGGGCCTTTCTTCCATCACAGCTGGCAAATGTTTTGTAGAGCTGATATAAGGGTGCTTCTGAGTGGCTTTGCCTCAGTGCAAAATATATGAGTGATTTCTCAAAATAAATCTCTCTGGCAGTGGCACCCACACTGGCATCGGCATATGACTGGTCAGCCAAAGGAAGAAAGGAGGGAGCTCGTGAGCATAATAACAACAAGCAGTAGGTTTTGAAGTGGTTAATATCCTATGGTTGCTGGCATTCCTCATTCACAAGTCATGAGTTCCAGTAAGAGGTACTATGAGTTGAAGGTATGTATGACTGATGGAGCTGCATGGTTTGATAGTGTATTTGTGGACAAGAAAATAAGTTTAGAGGAATAGGATTTTATGATGCGATTTTTGTGGTATTTTTTTTCCCTTTTTCTTTTGGCTATCAGACACAGGGTCAAATGAGGAACAGCAGCGCCGGAGCTGGATGTATTGAAAGGTCTTAATATGTGGTGCGACTCAAGGATTTGACTATGGGCCGTCTAGCTGAAGGATGGTCTCCTCACTGCTTGTAGAACGGGGCAGTTGTTGTTGTGTGAAGGGCCAACAACAGACACATTTACCTGATTATATGGTATATATGCTGTTTCTGCGGTGTAATAGACCACAAGGAAAGATATGTGTCAGAACTGAGGAATTAAGCGTGGCATTTGGGAGTGTTGACAAGAAACACCACCCTGTGACTTGGCTGGTACTGGCTGTGAACTGTATATCCTTCTGGGTGGCATGTCGAGGCTCTTGCAGCCCTTGGCCTCCTGCCATGTGGATTAGGGGAGCCACAGAGAAAAACCTGATGTACTCCATCTGCACTCCATGTCCTTAAACTGCTTCCCTACTGTCACTGGTTTGCTTCAGCTCTGCCTCCACATTAAAAACAAGTTATTTCAGATAGTCCAAGTGCAGCCTTCAGGTGGTGTGCCATAAAGGGAAAGTCCTCAATTTCATGGACAAAGCATTCAGCAACTCTTATTTGCGCTGTAATTGCATCCAGGAATACAAAAACCTCAGTTGAGCCTTAAAAAAAAAAAAAACTGATCAAAAGGAGTCTTATGAGAGAAGTGGAAAATGTTGTGAGTTTTAAAGAACTGCTATAAAGTGTGAGTGTGTTGATAACAAAACCAGCCAAGGGGTAGTGATCGCAAAGACACAGGGAGCAGAGCAAATAATGTAAACTGCCACTGCTCAGTCTCAGTCACTGATTCTCCTCTCAGTGCCTACATGTCTGTAATGTAATATCCTGCTGCAATGGATGTTTTTTAAATGGCAAACAGACTGTCTTTCTCCTACAGCGGCTGTGTTTGCTTTAAAAACTTTTCTAGTTTTACAATGTCATAGAAATCCTACAATCATCTTAACATCAGTTGTCAAACTGAATTAAGTTTTATGGCATAGCATCTTAAAGCCCCAGTGCCAAGGCAAAGGCAGACGGGAATGAGATGGTCACCCATGAAACTTAAGCATCAGCCTCATTATATCACAGAGCAAATGCTGCAGTTTTGCTCTCACGCACCCATGGGACACTGCCTGTGCCAATCTGCAGCCTCCTGCCACACATACAAACGTGCTGAACAGGGGAAGTCATTTCTGATTCTAACACACGCTGCCCCTATCTATCATGATCATTTCACTGGAGGGGATACAGCCTGCTGGTGAAATGGCAATGCACAGACAGCATAGTAAACAACTCTGCAGACAAGGCGCAGCACCACTCTGTGTCTGAGTGCGCTACAACATCACACACACACACACA